AAAAGGCCATTTATTTCTCTCTAGAATGACGTACAAATGAGCGTTCTTGCTCATTTTGCCTCCGAGATATGAGCAAAAATGGGACGGGAAACATGGAATTTTGGCATAATCTTGCACCTAAGTGTGTGATATTCAAATTTCGCTTTCTGGTTCTGTTTCTATGGTTCTTAAGAAACTTCGAAAAAAGGCCATTTAGTTATCTCTGGAATGTTGTAAAAACGAGAAAACATGAAATTTTGCAATAATCTTGCGCCACCCTTGCACAAAACGACGATAATTTTTCTAATTTCATAGATAACAGTATTTTTTCTACATAACCGCCCCTGTTTGTTCAGTTGTTCGGTGTTCCTTAGCTCTAATAATAATTAAATTATATATTGGAAAACGCCACTGGGATGATAATAAAATCAAGGTGTTTTTTTGCAGGAAATCAGGTGAAGATACGGTATTCATTTTCGTGCAGCGGCTCCTACATGTCACATTCTTGAAACCCAATAAAAACCCGCCTCAATCCAAGACATCGAGGATTGGCAGGTCCGTCGCTGGCGAGACTCAACGGAAGCAAAAAGCTGGTCTGGTGCTTCGGTCTTTTGCGCAGCTACTGCGCGCGCCCCTGTCTCGCTCTTTCACACTGCTCTACTGTCTCAGTTGCACGGAGGGGGCCCCGTTCTATGCGGCCCAATCCCGTTCAACCTGATCTATATTCCGCCTATATACAGAATAATTGCTGTCTGTTCTGCGCAGACAGTCGCTCTATGTACTCTTTATGGCGCGGTCTGTTTTTATCGAAGTGCCATTGTTGCGTCGCCGCTGGGAATGTTCAATTCGCCACTTAACAATGCCGCTGAAATTCCTAATACTAAGACACTGTTTGCACTTTTATATATTTATTGGCCACTGTGTATATGTAAATACCTATTGCTTCCTAAGATTGTTGTGTTCACATTTTGTTTCACTGTTCAAAGCTCACACATATCACAAGAAGTGCCATTGTTGTTTGATTGATTTTTCTTCACGTCAAAAATTTTAAAATTGTTATATTGAAAAATAATTGTTTGTTGTGATGGTGGATTTATTTAGATTTAACATTAGTTAAAGCGTTTACTCGATGGGAAGTCTTTAAACTAGATTTAATGAGTTTTCGTTGAGGACTCGCTGATTGGCTGACCAAATATGAACGCAACAATCCACCACTAATTTTCCAAAAAAAATAAAAATCGGTCACTAGTTGAAGTGGCTTTCAAAACGAACTACATTCCATTATTTATCTTTATCAAAAAAATCGAAACCCGAACTAAACTAAAGCAGTGAACTAAAATTTCACTGTGTAAAAAGAGTTTGAAGGGAAATTTCATGTTCTCAACGTGTACTTGCGTGAACTGTTTTGGCTTCAGTCCATGTCGTTTAATATTCCCTACTTGTTTTGCTTCAAGAGCGACACTTTTGCAAAAAAAATCTTCTGAATCTTCAAAAGTCTGAAAGTGTTTTCATAGCAATACTGCATTAATTAGTTGGTGTCGTCTATACCTACTCATTTATCATTGGGGAGCAGGAATTTTTCCATCCTAATTGTGAAAATTGCAACTTTGCCGGTGCGAAACCAATCGAAAGTGTGTTTGTGCATACTCAAAATGCAGGTCTGCGCCTTTTCAATTTGGGCAAAATTATTTTTTTGCTTTCCAGGGTTTCAGTCAAAATGTTTATATCGTTTATTTCATATTACGTTTCGGCGAGACAACAGCGCCATCATCAGATTTAAAATTTACACAAACTCATGATTGGTAAAAATCAACGTTCTTTTAGGTCTTTGCCTTCTTGAAACCTTCAATTTGTCTGAACTATTTTCTTCAAGTGTGAAGCAAACATTTTGAAAATCGTTTATATCATATTACGTTTCGGCGAGACAACAGCGTCATCATCAGATTTAAAATTTACACAAACTCATGATTGGTAAAAATCAACGTTCTTTTAGGTCTTTGCCTTCTTGAAACC